CCCAGGATCGGACATTGTTTTGTTCTGCTGTGCATGGGGTCACTATGAGTCGGTTCCGACTCGATGGCACCTGACAACAACAACAACAACTACGCACAGACATGGCGCTGACCTGGAAAAGGTAGCAATCAACCAGATAACACGTGGAAAACATTAGAGAACTCTGTAGTCCACAAGATAGCATGTTATCCACCAGAGAACATTGTAGTCAAAAAAACAACCACGGCATACGCTGGAGAAGGTAGCAGTCAACAAAGTAACACATGGTGACACTGGAGAAGGTGGTTAGTCAAGCATATAGCACGTGGTAGACACTGGAGAAGGTGGTAATCAACAAGGCAGCTGTGGCCCGTGGTTCTGAAGTTTAGGAGCTTAAAGAGGTGGTCAGACCAGGAAACTGTTGTTGAGGTACTGGGGTAGAGGTGGATGCTGGGGTAGCAGTGAGGCTGTTTGACAGAAAAGACCCCAGGAGCGGAGGTGTGGGCTGCAGGTCTGTGGGCCTGAAGAGCTGCAGGCAGTTTCAGGGAGATGCAAAGGCAGGGGCCAGGTCCCGCGGGGACCGCTGTGAAGGCCAGGAGGTGTCAGGAGGTCACTGTGTGGAGAGCTGAGTGAGGAGGGCCTTTCTCCTACAGAGATGCCGTCTGTAACTTATTCACTCTTCATTTCATCACCATCTTCCTCTTCCTCCTCCCACCCTCTGATCCCGACTGCAGCCTGGAAGGGTGTTTCTCAGAGCCCTTCAGGAAAGCCTCCACCCAACCCTCTGAATCAGACACAACAGGATTGAGGGGGGGCCCTCTGGAAGGGGCCTTCTCAGTCTTCAGCATACTTGCCCTGATCTCCCACCCCATCAGCCCAGAACCCCCCTCACCCTCCTGGCCCTGCTCCTCTCGGGGCCTCAGGTGAAGCTCAGACGTATACCTGCTACCACAGGAGCCCACCCCCCGAAATGCCTGCCACTTCCAGCACCCCTCAGTCCAAAGACGGCCCTGTTTCCTTTGAAGAAGCGGCCTTTGCATGTGTGCTGTACCGGGCCCTTGGCAGCAGACTCAGGGCCTGGGTAAGGCAGTCCACCAATGCCTGTGGCTGGCCTCCAAAGGTTCCGTTGCTGCCTTGATGTGAGTGCTGGCCCGTACTAATGACATTGTTCTTGAGGGGTTCTGGGTGAGGGACCCAACAGCCTGTGAACGACTGCCCACCGTGTTGCAATGGTGGAGAACCCTTGCCAGGTTCCACGTTAGAACTGCAAATCAAAGGGGGGCTGCAGTCTGCTCCCAGGTGGTTCCTCAAGGTCACCAAAGGCCACTGGGAGGCCTGGGGCCCCCTTAAAGGCCTACAATGCTCATGTTGGACACCTTTCTGGCTGGGTAGCATGGTGGGAACAGGTTGGATCTTGGTATGGGAACATAATTAGCATGAAGGAGACCGCTGGAAACATGGGAGGGGCACACTGAGTACCACTGGGAAAGAAGCAATGGGAAGGGATATCTTGAACATCCGTATCCATCCCTCACGTCATCTAACGAGGTCATCTGTTACGAAGCCGTAAAGGTATTTCTTCTGCGAACACGGGGCTCTTAGACAGACAACAATGCATTTCCCACTTGGCCTCTGGCTTGGCGGTTGCTGGTGCGGGAGATTCTCAGGATCCCGAGCCTTCGGGTAGCAGATGCTAGGCTGAAGCAGCCCAATGTGACACACATGTGAGGCCGGCTTTCCAGATGCCGGGGGAGTCTTAGTAACTGCAGACCACCTCTGGATTCCGGAAGCCCTGGACAGCCCTGGCTTGCCAAGGAGGTTGAAGCTCAGACCTTACCCAAGGTCAGGGCTCACCAGACCCTTCCTGAGAAAAACTTAGAGGTTAAACGTCCACCCAGAAGCGGCTGAAGTGTGCCCGCTGTCAAATCTAGGAGGTGGCATTTATGCGGTCCAGGTGTACCATGGGGGACTGTTAGAACACCCAAGCAGAAAGGCTGACAGGGGAAGAATGAGGGAGAAAGCGTTAGCAAGGTTTAAAAAAAAAATCATGTATACAGGTCCACACAATCACAAACACATACATACCTGTACATATATGAACAGGTGTACCCACAGGCATGCATGCGCACACACCTGTACACTCATACACAGGCGGACGCACACACTCACACACTTACACAGGCACACACGTACTCACAGTGGGCTCCCAAACTTTAGATGACTTCTTACTTGAAGTCTTTCTCCCAGTGATCCAAGAGCCATAGGGAAGTGATATCCGGGGACAGCCTGTGGCGGGGGTGGTGGTCATGTGCCGTGGAGTCGATTCCGACTCATAGTGACCCTGCACAGGGTTTCCAAGGCTGTAAATCTTTACGGGAGCAGAAAGTCTCATCTTTCTCCCGCGGAACCACTGGTAGTTTCGAACTGCTGACCTTGCAGTTCACAGCCCGATTCATAACTACTACTCTACCGGAGTCTGTAGGCTCTTGTTAGTTGCCAGTTTTAGAGGGAAGGTCTTGGTCTTGAATACATGGCCCTGTTTCTGAGGAGGGAGAGTGCATTGTTGACAAAATGTGCTTGGAATTCCAACCTTCAAGACCCTGTTGAGGGGACTCGGATGAGTCACCTGCCCAGGATAGATCCCCAGGTCCAGCCAGTCAAGGGATCAAGCCCAGAACAGCCTTTGTTGAAGCCAAAGTCCTCCCTGGTGGCCCCTCAGAAGGGAATGGAATGGTGCCTTCGTGTTGGGACGGCCGAGTAGGGACAAGAGGAGAAACAAGAAAACGGAACATGACGTGTTCCTCCTGACACACAGAGCTGGTGGAAGCCCACCTGTCTACCCGTCCCAACTTCTAGGACAAGGAGACCTGGATCCACCCAGGTGTATGTGTCATGGTCACAGGCAAGGTGGGTCATCTGGGGTAGCGGGCAGGTCCAAGAGTGCCCCCAGGGTACAGGATGGACTGGGTGCCCCCACCCCAGTGCCCCACAGGCTACGGGAGAATGACCACAGCACCTGCGCCATCTAGTGGCAAGGGACTTGGGCACTTGGTGCCACGACTGGGACCCCCAAGAGGGTCTACCACCCACAGAAAATTAGGGTGACGGGTGGCTCAGCCACAGCACCAGAAGGTCAAGGTCAACCTCTACAGTCAATGTTCTCACGATAGGAAAAGCAGATGGAACTGCCTAGAGGACAAAGATGCCTAGCCGATCTCTTCACACAGGTCTCGTGAGAGGGAAAGACGTGCCCCACCAGAGGGCCCTTCATGAGGGATACCCCCAGTCCCCCAGCACATGATTCCAGTCTGGTCAGCAGTTCTGTGACCTTCCTAAAGGTGGTCCTGCACCTCCCAGTCATGCCAGCTTTCTAAGGCCCCAAAGAACCAGTCTGACTATAGGCTGAGTCCCCAGTGGATGAGGAAGATAACCAAGTTCCAGGACCCTTTCTCCATGACACCAAGGAAGAAGCCGCGAGGAAAAGTCTCTCCCGGACAGCTCTGACCTGTGGCAACCTCACGCGTGTCAGAGGCTGAGTCTTCAGAAGTGATTGCCAGGCCTTTCTTCTGAGGAACCTTTGAACCTCCAAGCTTGCTATTAGCAGCTGAGCCCGTGAACCAGGTGTGCCCCCCAGTGCCCCATCCCTGACTGTACGAGCTCATTAAATGGACACCAGCTACCCAGCGGCTTACACTGCCAATGGAATCCAAGTCCCTTTAAAACCCCACCCCCAAATCCGTCCATCGGCACTTCCCAAACCCATCATGACCGCCTGACTCCTCCACCGTCTCTCCTAGACTGCTTTCCGCTGTTTGCCTCCTCCGCTAACCTGCTGGACTCCCCGAGCCTGGCCTGCCTCCCCTCACCCTCACTTCCTGCTTTTCCCAGAGATCAAGTCAGGTCCCTCCCTGAGCTGTTCCAAACCTCATCTAGGGGGCCACCTTCTCTGAGTCCCTGGCTAATGTTTGAAGCCACCTTATCTGACCACAGCATGGGGCCCAGTGGCTTGGAAATGGACTCTAGAGCCTGTCCACCCAAGTTAACCAGGACAGCACGCTCCAACTATGCTGCCCTGGGGTCAGTTACTTGACCTGTCTGTGCCTCAGTTTGCTCACAGGGTTTCGGTGGCGGTTAAGTGACTGAATCGTTCCCTTCAAGGGCATTTCCGGCACTGTGGGGACAATGAGTAAAGACTGACCTTCTCTCGACTCAGAAGCCCGGATTTGTGTGGAATGCTGACCCTGGTGTTTCCCTGGAGGCCACATGGTCACTACGCCAGTTTCTTCCCAAAGGACTGGACAAGCCAGAGAACTGTGAACTCTATTAGGGAAGGCGGGAATTCTGAATAGGAATAGGGATGAACTCAGGGGCTGCCAGGCACCCTGTCAGGAGATCTAGGAGCCACGTGCCCCACCTCTCCTGCCCCACCCCACCAGGCCTAGATCCTAGCCCTGCCCTACTCCTGGGGTCTCCTGCGCCCCACCCAGAGGCTAGGGAAGGGACAGTGGTGCACAGATGTTGGCTTTCCCAAGGGAACCACCCAAACCTTGTATTTCTGATCGGGTCACCAAGGGACCCAGGCGGAAAGAGGAAAGCTGTACTGGCATCTTGGGTCTGGCCACTGGCTGGACGAAGTTCATGGTCCCTTCCTTGGCCTCCCCCTCCCCAGGCAGTACCCCTCAGTGCTGGTCTGGGCGCCCAGGCCTCCCACCAATGTCTCGGCAAAGTCAAGGAGGCCCAGACCAGCAACTGGACGGCTGCTCTCCTTCCCAATTCCGTGCGCCTCATTCCTCCAACAATAATAATAGGTCCACTTGACTGAGAGGGAGCCAGTGTAAATGCCAGCAGAGGCCAGGCGGCTCAGCTTGAGTGAAGGGGCCAGGTGGCTCTGGGCACCGGTGGGTCTGCTGTCTGTCTACAGGGGGCAGCCGCTGCCCATCTACTGCAGGCCACGCACAACACGAGGCAGTGAGTGAGCGGGCCACAGACACCAACCGGCCAGAGCGTCACGTAACGTTTTCTGATTTCTAACTGCAGGTCTCAGAACTCTGACTTAGGAAACAAATTCTGTGTGGTTGAGACCAAACATGCTCTGGGAGGGATGGGGCCGGGTGGGCAGTTTGCAGTCCCAGAGGAGCAGCTTCTAAACATGACCTTTGCCCAGTAAAAACAGGGGCTATTGTGGGGGGATACCCTGTGGGTCTCAGTTGCTCCTTTCCTGTGTTCAGTGGTCAGAGATGGCACCTGGGTGGAAAGTGGCTGCTGGGTTTTGCCTGATGCCCAAACTGGCCCGCTTCTCTCATTCGCCCTGCCCTTGGGCACGTTTCCATCCTCCCCTGCCGGCACACCTGCTGAGATCCCTCACCTGCCCCTGGCACCTCCGGCCTACTCAGATAACCCTTCCGCTACCACTTGTGCTGGCCGGCTTGGGCTGCTGCCCACACGTTAATCCCACTCAGAGACCCTGACCATATCTAGACTGGCTCAAGGAGGCCCTAAACCCCCTGCCCTCCACACCCTGCCAGCTGAGCGTCCACTTGTCCTGGGACATTTAAAAATATCTGTCCAGCCTTGGCATCTCAGCTGCTCTGATCCCCCTCCTCACTTGGCTCTCATGCCAGAGCTTCTGGGAAAAGCATAAGCTGCCAAGAACATGGGCTGTTCGACCCTCCCTCACCTTGCATCAGTCCTAACTTAGCTCCTCTGACAAGCGTTCTGCCAGCATGAGCCCATTCCTGGCCTTACAAGGAGACGCTGGGCCTAGCCGGGGGGCTCTTGAATGGCAGGGCAGGGTTTGGCCACCTGTGTCCCCCGGACCTTGGAGCACATGTCTGGCGCGTGGTACCCGTCCACACAGCTGTTGTCCCCTCAGCCTGGCGCCCCGGCCCCAGAGCCTGCTATTAATATAATATAGTGGCAAAGGGACCCAGCAGCTGGCCTCGGCCATATCTTTCCACACGGATGGACACCGGCATCACACTAATCCCGTACATTCCGAATATGCACTGAGAGAGGGCCGAGCTGAACCCTGCTTGGCCTCCCAAAAATATGCCTGCTTGGCGCTGAGAAATGGGGAAGTCTCCCAAGGACAGTTTGGGGGCCTTCGGAGCTTCCTGGGGCTCACAGGAACAAGGATCATCGACCCACCACAGCAATGTTGCTGGGCATAGGCACCTGGCCTCCACTGTCCTTGGTCCCAGAGCCTCGTGTCTTGTAAGGTACAACTGTGCAGTGACAAAGTACTCAGTGGGAAGGGAAGGGCTGAAGAGTTCACTCCCTAATGTGCTCTCTTGGGGGGCAATGGGATGACCTAAACCCGCAGTGTAAGAGCCACACATGTCCTAAAACCGAACAACAGTTAGTTCTGTTCCAGAACAATCTCCATGGTTCGAATTGACACCTGCAACTCAAAAGACTCGGCAAGGAGCTCGGGGGGAGCTAATGCTCACGGGGGTGGGGTTGGGGATGAGGATGACTGCATACCTCCTAAGTCACAGGATCCTGTGTGGAGAGGCGTGGATGGGTCTACCGTCTGCATATTCCACAGCACAAGGCTAAAAAGAAAGACAAGGAAAACACTAGGGGGAAAAGAGATGATTCTGAAAAAAGCAGATCAGGAAGAAAGTAGTGGTGATGGGGATGAGGGGAGAGTAGACAGACTGAAGGTGGCTGAAGATGGGATGGGGGCGGGCGGAAGCCTGTCTTTGGTCTACGTCTCCATCTTGGTGTGTTTGAAAATTTCTCTAACAGTAAGTTTAAAAAATGCACATGAAGGGTCAAAAAAGGCCAATAAATATTGACGAGAGGCCCACTCTGTCCCCCAGAATTCTCCTAGGCACTTCTGGGTGGGGACAAACGGAGCAGTGAGGTGAGACTGGGCCACAACGGTCAGAACAGGGCCTCCAATGCAAGGGACCCTACAACCCTGGCCCCTGGAGACAGTTTGAACATAAACGTCTTTTAACATTTATGATTTAAAACGCTTCACCAAACCCCTCTGAACCTACAGCCCAACCCCAGACGGAACACGGCCAAGAGCTTCCTTTCCTGGAACGTCCCCCGTCCCTGGCCCCTCACGGACGCCCTCCACCCGCTACCCTGGCTCAATCCCATCCTGGCTTTAAACATCTCCATTTGATCCAGCTCATGCTGGCTGAGTTATGCTTGAGTCTGAAGTTTATGAGAAGGGTATCCTAACTCTATATACGAACATGCACTTCTTGGCTCTTTTCTGACATTTCATGAACCAGAACCGAGCATGCTGGGAGACGAGGCCCCTTTCCCGTGACCCAAGGCCCCGAAAGCAAGGCCGAGGGCAAGAGTCAGGCCCTTGACATTGAGAGTTGAGGGTGTCGTTTTTTGAGGCTCCTTCTGGCCGGGACTCTGCTTTGGAACGTGCTAGCAGGAAGTGAAATGTGTCTTAGCTCATGTTCCCCGCTGTTTGGGACACAGCTCTGTGGAGGCCAAGGACGTGGGTTAAACCCTACACCGATAAGAGTGTTCTTGACTGGGGTTGCAAACATAAACATTTGAAGTGGCGGTGAATGTCATGGTAAAGTTAGAGCAAGACAGCTACATCTGTCGATTTATTATTAGGAGGCAAATGTCATGGAAAGAAAATATGCCCCAAGTAATTTATTCCTGTGGAAACTACAGGCCTTCAGCTGGCTGGAACCAGAATAGACTTCCTCCCGCTCTTCAACTAGAGTTGCCCTTAGAAGACACTGGGACCAAAATCTAATTTGTCCCTTTTGGTGGTAAATATCTGTTGGCAAGGGAGTCTAGAATATACTCAGAAGGCATGAAGGGTAAGAATGAGGGGCCAATTGGCATGGGAAACACAGGAGGAAGGGGAAAGCATGCTCTTCTGTTGTAGGGACGGCAATCAATGTCGTGAAACAAAATGCGTATGAAGTGCTGAATGGAAAACCAATCTGCTCTGCAAACTCTCACCCAAGTCCCAAGAAGAAGATTAAAAAGAGAGAACAGTATTAAAACAAACAAAACAATAGTAGTTAATCATCATTTCTAATTTAGCTTAAGAAAGCAGGAGTTCCTAATTAACACCTAAGTTTCCCAATGACTGGGCAAAAGATACATGCAGAAAATGGTTAAACACTTCCAAGAAACATAAAAATGTAAACAAACGGAATGATCTCTCACAATCTCGACTAGGATCCAAGGCTCACGAAGATGATAGTTGTCCTCATTTAATACGTCCCCAATATACAAAATAAACACAAAAGAATGCACCCCCAGGAAAGATAGGGAACCCCCCACTCTGTTGTCTTGTCACCATATGTGGAGACAAGAGTACAGGAATACTGGACAAGATCGCGGGGACAAGGATGGACAATTCTGTTCCAATTGCACTTAGCTTCAAGTGTCTGTTTTTAAAGTACACAAAGTGAAAATGGTAATCATTTTAGAGCATTGGTATACTTGACCTTCACTATTATTATTAGAGTGTTTTATTGTATCTTTGGTGAAAGTTTACAGCAAACTAGGATCCCATTTAATAACGTCTATACCAGCTGCAGGGTTCGCTATAGGTCAGAACCGACTCGACGGCACTTAACAACAACAAACAGTAATACCAGATGCACCTCGGAAACCCTCTACAGGATCACTATGAGTTGGAACCGACTCGATGGCACTTAACAACAACAACATACATATTGCTTAAGGAGGTCTGATAGCGCTGTGGGATAAGCACCGGACTGCTAATCATAAGGTTGGCAATTCAAACCCATTAGTCACTCTGGGGGTGGGGAATGACGAGGCTTTTTGCTCCTAGAAAGACTTACTTACAGCTTCAGAAACCCTACACAGAGTCAACTGGATGGCAGTTTGGATGGAAACATTGTTGTTGTTAAGTGCTATGAGTTGGTTCCAACCCATAGCGATCCTGTATAGGGTTTCCCAAGGAGCCACTAGTGAGCTTGAACCACAGACCTTGCAGTCCAGCACGTTAGCCCACGGTGCCACACCAGGACTCTGGGTGAATACATACAGTTGACATTTTTCACAATGTGTACACAGTCTCACTGTTTCCTAATTTACCTTTACAGACAAATTCATTTACACTAAAAAACAAAAAACTGGAATTGCTTTAAAGAAAGTGGTTAGGCATAGTTGTGGCCTAAGAGAACATGGTAAAAGCCGTAAAGATGGTATGGATAGAATGGATGTTTGATACGCCATTTCTCAGGGACTTGTGGGTTCAGACTATGGACAGGACAGTCTCACCTGTAAGCCCCCAGCCGGCCACCCCAGGCAGTCAGTACTGATGGGCCCCTTCTGAGGGAGTCTCCAGGCCTCTGCTAGAAGCCACACGGGAGCTCAAGGCACGCATCCGGCAAGGAAGCCAGGAGTCCAAAGTCCCCACTGCGGAAAAAAGCACTGAGCTCGTATCTCATCATAAAGATCCCATAGCGAGGCCTCTGAGTGCTGCTGTGGCGCTGGGATATGAGCACTGGACACAAGGTTGGTGGTTCAAACCCAGCAGTTGCTCAGAGGGAGAAAGAGGAGGCTTTCTGCTTCAGTCCAGGAAACCCTCTGCAGGGTCGATACGAGTCGGAATTGAGAATTGACTCAATGACACTGAGTTTGGGCTTAGTTTTGAGGCAAGGTCAGGGGTCCCTGATGGTACAAAGCCAAGTGCTTACTTAGTAACAGAAAGACAGGTGGTTCACACCCACCCAGAGGCACCTGGAAGAAAGGCCTCATGGTCTGCCTCCGAAGGTCCCCTTGAAAATTCCGTGAAGCAGTTCTCTTTACTCTGCACACCTGGGCCACCAGGAGTTGAACTCAACTTGACAACAATGGTTTTGGGGGGGAGGTAAGAAAGCTCCTATTTTCTCTGCCCTAAGCTTGCTCTTTTCCTTAACTTTATTTTATTTTCAAGGGTATGAAAACCTTTTGTTTACAGAGCAAATCAGTTTCCCATTCAACAATGCAGACAGAGTCTTGTTCCTCTGTGTTGTTGAGTGCTTCCATGCATTGTAACATCACTTGTCTAGTCCCCAATCCTCCCTGCATTTCCCATTTCTCTTCCTCCTACTGAACTGGGTTTCCTGGATCAAAATGCTGCCCTTTTGATCTTGAATGGTTGATTGTCGTAGCGAGTGTTATTGTTTCCTGAAAATTAAGGCACCAGGGGGACACAGGGGGGAGTTCACTTCCAGACCTGAAGGGTGGACAGAGGATGTGGGTTTTATCTGACCAGTAAGTCTGGTCTTTTTATGGCTCTGAGCTTTGTTCCACATTTTTCCCCATTCCGTCCGGGACCTTCTATTGTGATGCCTTCTTAACCTTCATTTTAGGCAGTGACTTCAGACAGCAACATTGCTCCTCACACAAATAGTTTACCCAACTCAACAAGGCCATCTCAGTTTGAGAACTTGACCTCATCAAACTGGCGTCTATTTAAAAAAAATGACTGGAGATGATAAGTTACTTCACTTTTAAACGTGCTAAAAATCATGATATCATATTACTTACTATTCACTACAGTATATAATTATACTAATTTATGTGTTAATTATTGAATTATATCTATTTAAGAACACATAGCTACATTGATAGACTTAACCACTCAGTTACAGTGAATGATATTATTGTTAATATTAATAAGGAGAGGCAAGGGGGCCCAGACAACCTGACAGGGTTTCACCTGCCTAACCCAGCGTCCCCCCCCAGCACACGCGGCCTGTCACGTCCCGGTTGGATGACAAATAGCATGGTGGTCCTAGCTTCACAGCACGGCTAGCATGTTGATGCCTTTGATGAACACCAGGCGGGGGGCGGAGGGGACAGGGTCCTTGATCTCAGAGGCCAGCGAGCATTCTTTAGATTGTGGCCATTCCCGGTTTAAAGCATTTAGATCCGGGATTAGGAGAGGAGGCCTGCCATTTGGGTTTAAAATATCAAACGATGAAGGCGAGAAAAATGTGGCCTCTAAGCAGAGCACTAATAAGATTTCGTGAATAGTCACCCTCAATAGCCGTGTGGACACTTCTGTTTCTAGAGGACCTGGTCATTTCCATGCAGAACCGACAGACCCTGGCGCATCCTTGGCATCTGCTTCCTGTATTGTTCACTTAGGCTCTCCCTCAGCCTACCTTTGCAGTCAGTCTAGGAAAAACAGGTCAACAAAGGTCAGCCTTTTACCTTGACTGATTAGAAGAACGGTGGAGGGAGACAAGGGTCTGGGTACCCCAGACTCAGTCCGCTTGGGAAAAGAGTCCCAAGCCCTTCTCTTACTCATGGTAGGTCTGAACATGGTACTTCTTGGCCAGAGGGACAGGGTATGTGTTTGAACAGAGATTAGGCAATAAATGCACACACATACATATGCTGCTGGTGGGGACAGGCCAAGGGCCTTGTTTTGAAGGACAGTGTAGCCACAGCTTTTGTTTACTGATGACCTAGTGATTCCAACTGATTTCTGGCCACCTAGAAGGAACACTTGTGAACGTGAACAGAGTATGTACCAGCATAGGTACCACAGTGCCGTTTGTAATAGGGTCAGGAAGAAATAACTTACATGCACACCAGTGGCTGTCTTCTCTGCAGCCCAGATACGGTCGTGTGGCAGTTAAAAAGAATGAGGCAGGTCTTAAGAAGAACATCAGGGAAGGGTCTCCAAGGTCGGCCATTGAGTGAAAATGCTACAAAGAAATATGCGCACTGCTTGTGCTTTTAAAAAAGGTATTTTTCTATGGAAACTGATCACTAGCTATGAAGTCAGTCAGCTTGCAGACATGTGAGCGGCGGTGTATGAAGACTGTGGTTGGTGAGGGGTTAACCTGAGCTGACTTCAGCCATAGGCCTATTTAGTATTTTCTGAAAATATTACATAATACCTGTAATTCATATATCACATGTACAATTAGAAATTAACATTTGAAAGTACGCACTGGACAGCTACTGGTCTCTCTATTTATCTGGAACCAAAGAGAAAGAAGGAAGACCAAGATTCCGTCCAGAGAAGGAAACCGTCTCCAAGACTGACCGTCTACATGAACCATGGCCTTCCTCTACTGAGACTGGAAAAATGAAATGGTCCCCGGCCACCACCACTGAACAATCGGATCAAGGCCACAAGAGATGGAACTGGACAGAAAGGGGTAACACATGTGGAACAGAACTTCAAATTCTGGAAACGTCCACACTCACTGTACCAGCTGAAACTGGAGAAATCTGGGATTATCTCGCCCTGAGATACTCTTTAAACCTGGAATCCAAAGTAGCCCCTAAAGTCACCATCTAACTTAGTATGTTTGCTCATAAAATAAAGAGCCTCACACTTGAGTCTTATGCTCTTTTAAAAATCTTCTACATGTACCCTGTAATTCCACTCATAGGTATAGACCCCAAAGACTTGAAAGCAGAGATTCCAAAGGAACACCAATGTTCACTGTAGCACTAAGTCACAACAGCTAAAAGGTATCAACCACCTGAATGCCCATCAATGGTCCATCCAGACAATGGAATACTAGTCAGCCAACAGGAGCAATGAAGTCTTGATACATGCTAATTGCGGATGGAGCTAAAAGACACGCCAAGTGAAATAAGCCAATAACAAGAGGACGATCTCATTTATATAAAAAGACAAGAAAAGGCAAACATATAGACACTAAAGTTTATTAGCGATTCCCAGGGGCGAGAAAAGAAAGGGTAGGGGGAAGAGGGTGATGAAAAAAAACGATACAGCTGATTATTGTAATTGCTGATAATGTTATTATACACCTATAAAAAATTACACTGGCAAAAGCTATGCGATAAATGTATTCACAATAACAACCCCCCAGAAGAAAAAAGAGTGGCAGTTGAGACTGTTTATGTATCAGCAAACACATCATGGGATTTGGTTCCTTGGATTGGTGGGTTAGGGTTATAGTTTCATGGGACATCCTAATGACATGTCTAGAGAGTTTCTGTTCTAGTTCATTGTGTAGTGTCTGAATTTTAAACACTTGTAAGCGACCACCAAAGCAAAACAGAGTTTCTATTCCCCGAGAGCGACAGAGAACAGGAAGAAGTGGACTGTGGCTAACTAGCACCATGAACAACTGCCCCCTTTGCCAAGAGACCAGAAGACCTCAGTGGAGCCTGGCTACCATTACTGAAGGTTTTGATTAAAGAGCCCATAGAAGAATCCTGATCAAAAGAGGGAAATGCAGAACAGAATGTCAAATACTGTTGGACGCTAGTCTTTCTGAAACCATGGAGGATGAATGAACTCCTGATACTGCTGCAGTGATGTAAAATTTTAAACTTTAAACCAAAAATATTCCCTGAAGTCATATTAAAACAAAAAATCAATGTAGCTTAACTAGTAAACAAGGACTGCCTCGAGCATTGTCTTTTTTTTTTTTTTAATATGAATCTGGTTTCCATTTATTCAATTTAATGATGGTCATATGAATATTTTAACTCATTACTCCATACTTATCACAAAGTTTCCAAAGTCTACCCAGCTTTCAGATCTAACTCAAACCCTCCCTGCAAACTGTACCATACTTCACCAGCTCAAATAAATCCGGCTTCAGGATGCCTGTGAACATCTATAAAATTGTCATCTTTACTACACATTCCTGAACTTCCTCCAGTGTTTGCTTTGACTGTACTCCAATTGGGGTGTGTGTACGTACATTCAATTGACTGAGAAGACTGCAAAGTCAATTAGATCAAGTTCTGCGGGGTCAGGAGCCATGCTTCAGTTGTCTGTTTTTAAAAAAGTTTTTATTGTGAATTGAGGAATCGGTTTTACACACGTCGTTTCATTGTGTATTCTGTTTTTTAACGATATCCTTCTGTGGGGTCGAACTGATAACAGCAGTGAGTTACTGTTAATGAGGGAAGAGCAACTCAGAAAAGGGGGTGGGGAATGGTTGTACACTTGAATCCCCAATGTCACTAAATTATACATGTGGAAAGTGTGGAATTGGTGTTTTGCTGTGCATACTCTCAACAACAAAGTTAGTCAATTTAGGGGAGAGGGAAGTCATCTATATGAGCTCTAGAGGAGAGACTATGCTAAAGCATTGATGAGAAGGTTGGTGAGCTGGGGCTAAGTCAATGGACCCAGAAGGATGGGAACACAAATTATGACAATGTTGATGCAATGTGAAAGAATGTAGCCAATAGCACTCCACGAAACGGGGAGAAAGTGTTGAATGGAAACATGTTTTTGCTGTGTATACTTTTGCCAAAAATGCAATTTAAAAACAAACCAAACCCACAAAACACAAAAAAGTAATAGCTGGAAGGAGCTATTATGTCCCGTTATGTCCTTGGTTTCACGGAGTAGATTTCTTCAAGGAGTCTTGAGAAAGATAGGTGCGCCTCGCCTGTACCTTGGTTCCTGAACTTGAGAGGCTAGTTGTAAGTAATAAATAACTGGTGCTTTTGAAGTTGGCTGGATTTTTGAATACCAGCAGAAAAAAAGAGAGTGTCACCAAAATATATTAGCTTTCACCTTGGCCAAGCCCTTCCCGGCTGCCGTGTGGCCTTTGCCAGATGATTAAGGGCATGGTATATAGTTCTATTTCTAGCTTCCAAACCACTTCTCACAAGCTCTTGCTTTGCTCTTTCTTGAATAAGGAGCCGGAGGAATCTCAGTTCTAAAGTGATCAAGAATGTGAAACTGTGAACTGCCCATTTGGATGCTGACAAAAAAATAGATCCAATATCAAGAGGGTTGACATTTGAGCCACTGGCTCATGTCCCACCTCTTCATGAAGATTCTCCATTTGGTTGGGGGTGGGGGGAAGGGGACTGAACCAAGACTAAAGAAACTTTCATCTAAGAGCTGGTTTTTGCCATTAACTAGCAGGTTCCACCCCTCTCTGAGGCTCAGTTTCCTTCCTTATAAAATGAAGAGACGAAGACTTGGGCTCAGTTTCTTCCAGCTCAGGTATGACTTTGGATGGAGACTCAATTTGGAGCTTCCCCCTCTTGTATCCCCCTCAACAGCAGGTTCTTTCTGCTGCTCTCTCTGATGACTTCTACACCCGTCACATCTTTCTGCTCACTTGACACCTTCCCACAGAGAGTGAAAAGGTAATTAAATTGAACATATCCAAGACAGAACTCCTGGTCTCCTCTCATCCCATAGAGGGGGGGGCCTCTTTCCATCTTTCTCCAGCCCAGTGGAAGGCACCCACTTCCTTCCACCTGGGCACCACCCTTGACACAACCAAGTCCCACATACATGTTGTTGGTCCAACCTCCTAAGTCATTCTCAGTGCCACGCTCACTGCCACTCTCACTTTTCTGCATCTCTATGGTCAACTATTTCCTAACACCACACACTCTCTCTCTAACTCCCCCTCAAAATCCAGCCCCTACTCAGGCCAAGGAGCTCTTTAGAAGACAGCTTGGTAATGGTGCCTTCAGTCTTCAGAACCATGGTTACACATGGTCCTAGAGCTATTTAAGACAAAACAGAAATGGCATTCTGTTTGTCGGGCTCATGAGGCCCTACAGACTGGCCTCACTTCCTCCCCGAGCCCAGCCACCTGCTAGGAGATTCTGAAATACACTCAGCTCTCTTCCAGCAGGGGGCCCACAACCTCGCGGTTCCACTCCTGAGCCCGGGCACCGTCCCTGCGGCCATCACTCTTCAGGTCTCAGCTCAAGTGTACACGTATCGTTTTCTTGGGAAAGTATTCCTGACATGTCCAAATCCAGGGCGGCTTCCTCTGTGGTATGCTCTGGAAACATGTATTGATTTCCAACTGTGCCCTTAGCCCTGACTGGAACGAAACCCTCCTTCAGGACACAGCTCATCTCCAGGGGCCCCACCCTGTGTGGAGAGTGGGATTCAACTCACCATACTAACAAATCATTACCATTTTGATATTCTTTACACAATCCAATGACATTCGATGTGCTTATTGACCGAGTGCATTTTTGTAGGTCAAACTCTTCCTCCTCCTAGGACTTCCCATCATTAGGCACTAAGGGATACCTGGAAATCGGACTAGACAAACACCCAACTACACTTACTGGCTCCTCTAGCCTTATTTTAGGCTCTTTCTGTCTGTCTGGGTTCCTTGAGATTTTCGTCCACTAGTCTCCTGTCTCTTGGCCTTTACATCTTCACCGCCATCATCCTCACCACCTTCACCATCAACACCACTAGCACTCTCACCACCAACATCATCACCACTACCCTCACCACCTTCACCATCAACACCAGCACCATCCTCACCACCAACATCTCCACCATCATCCTCACCACCTTCACCATCAACATCACCACCATCCTTATCACCACCACTACCATCTTCACCACCTTCACCATCAACACAACTACCATCTATCTTCACCACCAACATAACCACCATCCTCATCACCACCACTACCATCTTCACCACCACCTTCACCATCAACACCACTACCACCCTCACCACCATCCTCACCACCAACATCTCCACCATCCTCACCACCTTCACCATCAACACCACCACCACCATCTCTACCATCATCCTCACCACCATCACTATCAATATCACCACCATCCTCATCACCACTACCACCATCTTCATCACCACCTTCACCATCAACACCACTACCATCCTCACCACTAACATCTCCACCTTCACCATCCACACCACCACCATCCTCGCTCACCACCAACATCTCCACCATCCTCATCACCACCTTCCCCATCAACACCACCACCATCCTCACCACCTTCACCACCAGCATGGCTACCATCATCACAACCTCCATCCTCATCACCGCCATTAACCACATCATCACCTTCACCGTCATCACACTGTCACCATCACCATCGTCACTGTCACCACCAATGACAGCTGCCATCAACTGAGCTGTGTGTTCAGCATTTACTTATTATTGACCATTAGCTGGGCCCTTTCTATATGTTTTCTTGTCTCTATAGCCCTGGAGTTCTGGTGTGGTGCTGTAGGATGAGTACTAGACTGTTAGCCAAAAGTCAGTGGTTATGTACTGTGGAGCTGGTTCCGACTCATAGCGACCTTGGACAAGGTTTCCAAGGCTGTAAATCTTTACGGGAGCAGTAAGCCTGGTCTCGCTCTCATGAAACAGCTGGTAGTTTTGAACTGCTGACCTTGAGGTTAGCAGCCCTACTTGTAACCACTACCTACCAAAGTTCCCTTGTTGTTGTTGTTAAGTGCCGTCAAATCCATTCTGACCCACAGTGACCCTGTACAGGGTTTCCAAGGAGAGGCTGGTGAGCTTGAACCACCAACATTGTGGTTCAAACTGACTTTGCAGTCCAGTGCATGAACTCACAGCGCCACACCAGGACGCCACCTTAGAAACCTTAAAGGGTCACTGAGTCTGAACCAACTTACCAACAACAGTTCTAGAAGGAAGATTCTACTGCCTTACTTTGCAACTGAAAAGGTGAGGGTCAGACAGGTTGTCACCCCCAGCCTTCCTGCTCATCTCCCTCAAGGGATACATACCATCTTGTACCCTTTTGAGACCCACGCAAGTCCTGTCAGAAAGAAGACTTCAGAGGAAAATCCCTTCTAAACAACACAGAATGAGGTGTCCCTATGCTATCCTTTCAGTACAGAGGTATAGGTTGTACCCACTGCCATCTTTTCAGAGAACACAGCCAGGCACCGATGATGAGAATGGAAAACAAAAGAGTATGGATAGCTAAGTAGGTGATGTGCCTAACTAGAAGAATCCAAAAGGACAGCTAAGAAAAATTTAAAAATAAAAAAATATCAGAAACACTAGAAAGGTCTAGCTTTTCTAGATGTTGAGATTTCAGACAATGTATTTAAAATGCTAAAAAAAGAAAAAAAAAAAAGCACAAACAAAAGAAAACTGTGGGATACTGACATGGGTTTGTCCACTTCAAAAAAAAATCTGCTAAATAATTTTTTAAAACACTAAATATAAACAAAATTTTAAAAACTCTAAAGTCATTTTAAAAACAAAAGCAACACTTCTCTTTCCTATCAGTGTGGTTGTTGCCAAGTGCCATTAGATCAGCTCCAACTCAGTGACCCTATCTAGCGTTTCCAAGGAGCAGCTGGTGAGTTTGAACCGCCAATCTTGTGGTTGGTTAGCAGTTAGGGCTTCTCCTACAGCACCCCCCAGGACTGCCCCCCCAGGACCCCCCTGTGAGATGGTTAACAGCAGGAAGCACGTGTTGTCTCAAACCCAAGGCTTTCCTGAACCAGTTGAGGTTGGCGAACAGTTCACCCCATCATCTCTGGTTTTCTCATTTCACGATGGGAAAGTTGACTTCGTTCTTTGCTGTTCCTCATGCAGGAAACCCTCTGTAAAACCTTCTAGAAATACTGTTTGTTTGAATAGGCCTCATAAACCATCTACAAGTAGCCAAATGAGAACAATGGCCCGAAATCAACAGCTTTCCTGTTGTTGCTAACTGCACGTCAAGTCGGCTAGAACTCATGACGACCCTTTAATAGGGTTTCCAAGGAGGGGTAAGTGCGTTTGAACCGCTGACCTTGTGGTTTAGAAGTCCAGTGCTTATCCTACAGTGCCAGCCACACCAAGACTTTAATGTCTTTCCTATAAACCTTCATAAATAGCTTGAAAATATAATAAGGGGAAAAAAGTATTTTCATAAGAGCAACAGAAGTATCAAATCCTTGGGGCACAACTTCACAGAGGACATATATGAGAATTACAAAAAGAGAGCCTGAAATCTTAATGGGAGAAATAAAAAGAGACTCAAATGAATGAAGAGAGAAGCGATACTTCTGGCTGAAGAGAAAACATGGGAAAGATGACAACACTTTCCAGGACAATTTAGAGATTAAAGGTAATTCAGGTCAAACCATTGCCAAGGTCACGAGAGAACTTGATATAAAATGGTTCTTATATTCATCTGGAAAAACAAATGACCAGAACTCTCAGAAGATTCTGAGAATCCGCAGTGAGAAGGCAGTTGTCCCAGCAGATCTTAAAATATAGTACAAAACTATGATCATTAAAGCTGTAAACCAATCACAGAGAACACCAGGGGGAAGATGTCACAATGTAACACACCGAACATAAATAAACTATCTATCTACCTATCTATCTATGCAGTCTACACTATGCACAAAGCTCGGATTGCAATGTTTTTTCAAAACCCTCATCTGAGCGGAGGATAAGAGGTATGTGTGTGTTTAACTAATTAAGCAGCATTAGAAATGATCATAGTGACAAGCTCTAAGAAGCAGAGTTCTTAACAGTGTGAAAAACAAACCTCTTTAATTCCTATAGATTTTCAAAGTTTATCTCCACCTGATTCCTGGAGAGCTTATAATCAGAAGCCCAATTTGACAGTTAATTAAACCCATATTGTTCTCTAATTGGGGAATGTGAGTATCTGAGAGAGCTTCTGGGGGTGGGTGCACAGGCGGGATGGAGGCTTCCTCTTCTGGCTCCTTCCTCTGGGACCCCCACAGTCCTGAGCACCAAATAGCTGGCACCCACTGTTTTTGTGGGGCAATGTCCGAACATCACAGATTGTTGCTCCAAGGCTACTTTAAATCTGACAGGAATGCCAAGCTTCCTTCAAACCAGTCCAGAGCTCTGAGTTTGGACCAACAGAGTCCTCTGACTCTTTCTCCTCGGTGATCCAGGATGGAACTGGGAGAGAAGTGGAATTTGCTGGGATTTCTAGACCCACAAAGTAAAAGACTCTCATCTGAGGATGGTCTGGAGATTGTCATAAGCAGCCCCCCCCCGCCCCCCATTTCTTATTTGTTGCTTTTACTCTTATGCACCTCTCCCTTCTTCCTGTTCTTTCGTGATTTTGTACTGATCACACCCTTATTATATGTTGTCTTTCCCTTAGCACTGGACCCTTAATCACAAGGTTGCAGGTTCAAACCCACCAGCTGCTCCTTAGAAACCTACACAGGGTTGCTATGAGTCAAAACCAACTCATTGGCAATTAACAACACGATCATTTACTTAAGTGCTTTTTCCTCCCCCTATCTCTGGAACCAATCAAAGACATTTTTTTTTTTTTCTGCATGTAAGCCTTTCTTTGAATTTTATATAGTGGACTCCGGCATTATTTGTCCTTTTGTGATTGACTTATTTCACTCTGCACAATGTCTCCCAGTCATCCACTCTATGAGGGGTTTTGTAGATCGTTCATGATCCTATAACTGTGGGTACGTACCACACTTTGCTTCTCCATTCATCCACTGTTAGACACTTAGGTTTTTTCCATCTCTTGATTCCTATGAATGATGCTACAATGAACCTGGGTGAACATGTGACCGTCCAGGCACCAGATCTTACTTCTTTAGGACACAGGTATAGAATGCAGTTGCTGGATCAAATGCTATTTCTATTCCCAACATTTTAAGGACGCAGCATCCCATTTTCTATGGTGGTTGCCACATTTCACAGCCCTGGTGTGATGCTGTAGGATAAGCACTCAACCCAAATCGCCGAGTCGGCAGTTCAAACGCACCAGCCACTCCTTGGAAACCCTATACAGAGTCACTCTGGGCTCGAACTGACTCGACAGCACTTAACAACATGGACAGTATGTGACAGCCTAGTCACATTTACTTTGCTATAATAGCAGATTACCACCACTTACTGTCACTTTGTCCCACTGTGGTGGCTTGTCTGTTGCTGTGATGCTGGAAGTTGTGTCGTCTGTATTTTAAACACCAGAAGGGTCGCCGATGGTGGTGAACAGGTTTCAGCTGAGCTTTCAAACTAAGACAGACTAGGAAGAAGGAGAGAGAGAGAGAGAGAGAGAGACCACTGTTGAATGGCTGGCCACTGCAAACCTTATGAATAGCAGCAAAACATTCTCAAAAACAATGCTGGAAGATGAGCCCCTCAGGATAGAAGGGTCTTAAATAAGACGGGGGATGAACTGCCTCCTCAAAGTAGAGTTAACCATGATGACTAAGTGGAGTAAAACTTTCGAGACCTTCATTTCCTGATGAGGCACAACTCAAAAGGTGGAGAATCAGCTGCCAAGATCCATGGAAGTAGAAATCTAGGGAAATTAGAAGTTGTCAAAAATGAAATGGAACACATAAAGGTCAATATCCAAGGCATTAGTGAGTCCTGCTGTGGCTCTGTGGGTTAATGCACTGGACTGCAAAGTTAGTTTGAACTGCAAGGTTGGCGGTTCAAGCCCACCAGCCACTCCTTGAAAACCCAATACAGGGTTGCTATGAGTTGGAACTGACTCAATGGCACGTAACTACAACAACAGTGAGCTAAAAATGGACTGGTATTGACCATTTATAATCTGACAATTATATGGTTTACTATACTATAGTACAAATGAAAAATTCAAGAGGA